ATTTTACAGTAAAATATATAACATAATACTGCAATTGATTTTCTAAAATTTGATTATACAGTTTTATTTGGATTAACTAAAGGTAACATATTTTGTATATGAGAAGAATATTTGAAATATGTCATGTTCTGATTTTTTTAGAATTTGCCTGATTCTTAGACAGACTGGCACTTAAAAACTAGCCCGGTTTACATGATATCCAGAATATTGTGTTATTGAAGAAAAAAGTAGCTAATACAGGAAAAATCGAAAAATATACAATCTTCCAACTGCAAAAACTTCTGCTTCTGTCCTGAAAGATACATGTAATATCAGTCTTTTGTAGACAAAACACGCGTCTGGCGTACAAAATTTGAACCTAAAATCAATGATAAGTTCAATGTGATTCCAGCTTTTGGCCGTATTTGTCAATTGATGAAGCGTAATTTATACATGTCTTATATATTGCATTCTCCTTTCAAGTAAAAAAGGAACTAGAATTTTCGGAAATGAAAGAGTAATTTTATACCAGATTTACAATATTGTCTTATACACTATATACCAGAACGTATATTTTTTTTTGATGCAAGTATTGTATGCTGGAGCAGATTTCATTGATTGGAATGTTCTATAAAAATAAAAGGAATAGAAAAAAAAAAAAACACTTTATAAATTCAATGCGCTTTTCTTAATTTACCTTCATCAGGAACGCTCAAAGCAGAATATTTGAAACTCAATGATGTATGAGGACCGAACCCGTTGAAGAGCTTTAAAACCAAAAAGGTTCAAACAAAATAATAGCCAAATCATCTATGTCAACTTTAACTATGAAAGTTGGAGCCTTATTTTCTCAATAAATCATAAATTCAAAAACGGACAATTTAAGAAAGGTTACTGACTACTTAGCTAATGATACAAGTTGCTACAAATATGTTTAGTGGACAAGACAAACTTTCACCTGGAGAGATTTGAAACCGGTAAAGTTGAAATTAGAAAGTATGTTTGCACAGTTAGCATAAAAATGTATGAGAATATACAAAAGTTTGAGTTGTTCGGCTGTAATTGGTTAAACCTTTCGGAATTTCTGGTCCTCAATACTCTTAGACCTCGTCCTTTAATTGGCATTTTACCTTTTCGAGCGGCACTAATGAGTTTTTTTGTAGAAGATAAGCGCGTCTGGCGTTCAAAACTAAAAGCATGGTATCTTTGATGCGTTTACAATCAAAATGTTGTCCATATAGGACAGGTGGGTAGCCTGACGCCTTATTTGCATGAACGTGATATCAATATTTATATATTTTGCATAGGTAACAGTTAACTGTGTCGGTTGAATTGATTTCACAAATTGAAAATGTGGGTGCAGATTATTTTAGTAGAATTTGCTTTTTTGACGACTGAGCTTGTGCCAACAACGTATTTTAAATGTTTAATAACAGATGGGGAAAACTACTATTAACATATTTGCAGATGATAACAATCACAAGACTGATAATTTTAATTTCATAAAAAAAAGTTTGGATTCCAGAAACCTCAGGTGCTGATGCTTTGCTTTAGGCAGCGTGTGCCTCCTGATGGGTTAGTTAACAGAGTTATTTCTAATTATATATATAAACCATATGGTAATTTGTCGAGCAGAAGGCGTATTGACAGTTTAAAGTAAAAGTGAACTTTTGTTTACCTATGGTTAGGAACAACACACAAAATAGATATTAAAAATGTACTAACGATTTTGTCTGATTTTTTTTTTTGAGGACCCAAGATTCCAAAATGTTTTGCCAAATACAGTTAAGGTAATCCATCCCAGTTGGGGTTGAAAATCAAGAACCGACACATTTAGAGAGCTATACATGCTAGATGACCAAAAAGGGCATTTAAATAATACCCAAATCCATGTTAGGTCAACTTTGCCAGAGGGAACTGAAACCTTAGTCTCTGAATAATTTCTTTATTTATAATGAGAAAATTTAAGAAATGTTTCTTTTTTTACATTTGAGTTATTTGCACATGCTATTCGAAATGATTGGTTCCCCTTGTTGTATGAATAAAAAAGGGGCAATATGAATTAAATCCTTGTCTTATTATAAGATAAGAAGATGAGGTATGATTGCCAATGAGACAACTATCCACCAAAGTTTAAATAAAGTGGATTTAAGCAATTATAGGCAACCGTACAACATTCAGCATTGAGAAAAATCCATACCGTATAGTCAGCCATAAAAGGTCCCGACATGAACGATATGAAACATTTCAATTGAGAAAACTAACGGCCTTATTTATAACAAAACAACTAACGAAAAACAAATATGACAGACATGAACCAACGACAACCACTGAACTACAGGCTCCTGTCTTGAGACTGGCACATAAAGAATGTGACGGGGTTAAACCTGTTTGTGAGCGCTAACATGGGAGGGTGTAACCTACTTATCAAACAGGCTTTAAAAAAAAAAAAAACCATTTGTTTTAATAAAAGTGCTGACTTTTGAAATGTTGTTTTCATTTTTTATCCTAATTCGACTTTCTCGAAATATTTATTCTGTCTAGAAATATGATTAATCCTTCTTTATCCACTAATGAGATAATATCATGTAAAACATTTTTCCCAATACTTATATTTCCCCCTTCACAAACCCATTTTGATTCGGGTGAATAGTTTTAAACGCTCTACCAATATCTTTAATACAATTTTTAAATCCGTTATCATTGAGTTTTATGGTCTCGAGTTTCCTCCCTTATGTAGTAAGGTTAACATCCCTTCTTATTGTAATTTACTGAGTTCTTGTTCGTCAAATTCTTGCTTTAGTACGTCTTCATAAGGTATCCAATATATTTGTTAAAATTTAGATATTATCCCATCCTGCTGTTAAGACTTCTTATTGCTTTAGTAAGTCTTTATAAGGCATCCGATATATTTGATAAAATTAAGTTATTATCACGATCTTTCCAAGAGATTTACTTTTGTTAAGACTTTTTCTCTAATTCGTACCCGTTTTATTCTTTTCCTGACCTGTTGATTTTTTTTTATTTAATACAAAGTGTTGTTCGTTTGATCTCAGTTCTTCATTGGTCAAAATTTGATGATGACGTCAAACTTTCTTGCTTTCAATTGTTTGAATTTCCTATTGTGACGCCATGTAAAAAGGCGACCATGCCTGATGACGTCACATATCGTTTTGCAGTTAATTCGAAAAGTAGGATTACAATTGTCTGTATATCGTCTATAAAGAATTATAGAAACAGATTCCACCACCAAATATCGTGCAATACGATATTTATCCACTCTCGACAGTTAAATTTTTTTTTTATTGTCTCTGTTATTTCATCAACGTCAATTCGTCGTTCTATATGTTGTATTTCGTCTGTTTACACTACACAGATCGTGTTCACTTAACTAAGCTGTAAAATTTTGTTACAGTTTGCTTTATGTGAAACAAATTAACTCAAAAGGAGAAGTATAATTAATGTAAATTCAGAAATTGGTGTCTGCATTTATGACTGCAATTTTTGAAGGACGGACAACAGTGTGAGATTAATCATTGCGATTTAATAAAAATCTGCATACTGTTATGGGTATCGGATATCAGAATACGAGTTCTTATAATTGCGATACTCACCTAGCCGAATTATTCACATATATAAAAACCTCGCAATATTTTCTGAATTTACAGTATTCAAGTTGTTGAGATGTTTCCTTGGAAAGTATATTTCTAACATTGATATCAAGGTAGCGCAATAAGTCTAGGTAATTTTTTTCCCATTTCAGTTTATGCAAGCTAATGCAAATCATGATTGAAGAAGAAGAAATTTACAAAAAAAAAAAACATTTGGTACTGTTCGTTCTGATGAATTCTATCAAAACCTTCGATTTGTCTTCCCTTTTCACCACCATACCACATGAATAATTGAAAACCAGTCAAAAAAGAAATAATTCATAAAGCTTTCCTCCATTTAAAGTGTACCACACGGTACAAATTCATTGTTCTGAACATAAATGTGGCATATTTCCTAAAAGTGAGCCCGATAATAAAAAGGATATACCATTAAAAATGTGTTTAGTACGCTGAAGTTTCTCAGTGACAATATCTTTGTTGAATTTACAGGTAGAGTTGTCGACATTCCTACTAGTACCATCTGTGCGCCTTTCCTGGCCGACCTTTTTTTTAATTCCATATGTGTATGAGTTATTTCATGCACTTGTAAAAGCAAGAATATCAAAGAAACTAAATCATTAGATTTCACATAGAGGTATAATGATGATGTTATTTCCATTAACAATCAAAAGTTTTTTTATTGGGTCCCATTAAGTTATCCTCCTGAACTAGATATTACAGAAACCACAGAAACAGCTTCCTCCACCTCATGTCTTTTCATAAACCACATCGGTCATCTCATTACAATAACTTTTTCTGTTGGTGTCTTTAACATATTCATCTTTCATTTGTTTGATTTTTGTTAGTCAATTGTGTTGTTTGTCTGTGGTACTAACTACTGGGCTTGTGTTACACTCGGGGACGAAGATATTGATTGTTTTTGTTAAATTTACTTACTACTTGTTTTTAACTCGGAACGATATAGACCTTGACACATTGTATGGACTATCTGTCTGTTGATGAAGACTTTGAGTTGATGTCTAAATTTGGATTATTCTATCGTTGTGTTGCTGTATCACTGAAGATAAAAACTGTGGACAAGAATACATATCTTTTTAGAATTATTGTACTTTTTTAATTCTGCTAAAAGAGACGCGAAAGTTACCAAAGGGACATTCAAACTCATAAGTCGAAAATAAACAGACAACGCCATGGCTAAAAAGAAAAAGACAAACAGACAAACAACAGTACACAAACACGCCACAGAAAACCATAGACTGAGCAACACGAACCCCACCAAAAACTGGGGGTGATATCAGGTGCTCCGGAAGGGTAAGCAGATCCTACACCACATGTGACACCCGTCGTGTTACTCATGTTAGTACAAACCCGGAAATAAGTCTAATTCGGTAGGTTACATTTTATTAAATTTATTATTTTCTTCACAAAATATCTGGAGAAAACATATACGAAAACATTTTTTATGGAAATATGCCATTAATTTACACAAACGAACCTCAGAAACGGTGTTATTTCTGAATCAAATGTATCATTATATGAATCAACGTACATACGAGGAAAATCGGACGTGATCTTGAGTAGCCCCGAACATTCCTTATACGTTGATTTTGATACCAGACAACTCGGTTGACACATTTCACCGTTTGAGTCGTACGCCCTTACGTAGGTTTTTGTTTCATCAGAAACTGGCTTCTTAAAGACAATAAGACCAATAGATTCAGAGAAACGGGTGCGTTCATCTATAGAAATGTAGTCGAGATGTCTACCATTATAGGAGAATCCATCAGTCTGAAATGTAATGTTAAATGTTCTTTGGTTTTTAATTTGATCATGTCCTGGTTTTCGATTTATCTCGTGTTTGTTTGTTATTGCTATTGGTGACATTGCCAAATTGTCGAATTGGTATGGAGTCCTATTCTCCTGTCTCAGACGAAGATTTATATCAAAGCCAATGTTGAGATTATTGCCTGTTAAACTGAATTCAGCTGATCTTCGACTCCTTGATCTACCACTACCAAAGTGCATCTTAAATCTTTGTGTGATTGTTGGAGCTGTTGAAGTTCGAGTTAGTTGACTGTTCTCTGTTCTTTCGAATGGTGAAATGCTCCCACTCTTTATGTCTGGTAAACCTCCTTCTGCTTTTATTGAATCAGATACCATTGTTGGTTGATCCGAAGATTTAATATTTTTAAAAGATAGAGGAATATCCATTCGTTTACCTTTTGCCTTTGATGGGTAAAAACTCTTAACTCGACTTAATCCACCATTTCGAATAAAATCATACCTAGATCCGGACACACACCCTTTTTTACTTCTATCACATAATAAAAATCCTTTAAACGCTCCTCCGCAGTTGTTGCGACAAGTCGGGGCAGGTGCATATCTATAAATTTGTTTTGTAAATGAATTGCTATACCCCTGAATATTCTTCTTTGATGGTCTTAAATTATCCATAAGCCTATTTGGCTTGTGCTCTGGTATAGTGGTTGGTGGGTAGTCTGTTTCTGAATTTATTCCTAATATTTTTTGACGTTTTCTGAATTTTTCCCAAAGATAATCTACGAAGCAGTGGTGAAGCCAGAAAACTGGATCCATTGGACTTAAATTTACGTCTGACATATGACCGTCATCTCCGCCGACCCACCCGTGAACATTATCATGGTGAGACTCTAAATTGGCATAACTGCTATCTGGAGTTGTTTTTCTTAAAATTTCTCTGTGATATTTTTTGCTAAACACAGTTTCTAACCTCTGTGGGTCAATAGGAGAGCCAAATCTTCCTACATCACGTCTTAACAACGTACTCGGTATTGTCGGCGTTTCCCAAAATGCAAATGGACCTGAATAAACAACACCTTTTGGGTTCCCCAAAAATATTTCAGTAAATAAGATTGAATCCTTTTGATTGTCCATCAAATAGTCTGCTGTTGAATCCCAGTATGGAAGAGTCACTCTGCTATTTTTTTCCCGAAGAGCGTTTTCGAATCTGTATTATAGAAATGTTGATATTAACACGATTAAAGAGATTCGTTAGTAATACTCGATATAAAGAAACATATAAGTAGATAATATATAAAGTCAATGTCATGTAATCTCTCTCTCTCTCTCTCTCTCTCTCTCTCTCTCTCTCAGTAATGTTATGTAAAGTTCGAAATTTGTGCGATGTTTTGATAGTTTGAGCTACTAATAATTATAAAATACTTTAGAAATTTAAACACATAACAAAACAACACGTGAATTTTCTTAGACTGTTGATATTTGTTTATTTCATTGCAGAATTGTATTTTCAAAGTATAAATCGTTGCTACGTATATTTCAAAGAATGTGTTCAGCATAATTCAAAGTCTTGTAGTTATGTGTATCCGTTTCCTTTCCATCTGCATTTCAAAACTGTTTTTTTTTTTCGGGATTATCTATGATAAAATGACTGTAATTATATTTATTTTTGGCTTCATGGAAAACCGAATAATCGTCTTTTTCCTGTCTGAATCAAATAGAAAATTACGAGTTAAAAACATCAATAAAATAAGGAGACTGAAGATAACAGCAGCATGCTGTCTTTACAATACACCAATATCCAATATTGCATTAAATGTGCGATGTCGTAACTGGTCATCAAACAAATGAATTAAATACCATATCAAGGGAAGTAATCAATCATATACACGTTGAAGAGGCCGAAAAGGCCACTTTGTAAAGAAAAGACAAACAACAATCTTCAACACTGCAAAAGAACTAGCGTAGGAACCCGGAGGGAGGCAAATATGTTTTCCCCCATACATTGTCCCCATCTTTCTCCTTTTTGGCCTCAACAATTATAGAAATGAAAAGTGAAAATGAAAGATAACTCTAACTAACGTCTAGACTATTAGACTATAGAAAAAAAAGGTTTTCCTGTTTCTTTTTTCTTGTTCCATTTTGGACGTTTGCTCACTCTTCTTTTCAGTCAACTCCTCACCCACTGAAGATAGAGAGACTGAAACCCAAACAAAAACCGTTGTTTGAAGTTAGTGCTACGGTAGTAAAACATTAAATTGTATTGTTTATACACTGAAAAGAGTGGACAACTTACAGTACGAGGTAATATCTATGCCAGCTAACAAAATTTGGACCATTATGTGCAGAATTTCCGGCGCCTCCCTGGTGCATAATTGCAAACGAATCATACTTGTTTGGTGAGACCGACTGAAAAATATGACCTTGACGATTAAAACAAATTATATTTCGAGTGAAATATATAACAGATAAATAATTAATTAGCGAAAGCTTCATTTAAAAAAAAAAACCAGAACATATTACATAAGTGAAAAGCCTTTTTTCAGTGAAAGCTGACAAATAAACTGGATTCCTGGAAATATTCAAAGCTGATTAAAAAGATGCAAAAGCATACTTGTTTTTCTATTTTTAGGATTTTGATTTGCGGAACACAAAAACATCTAAAGGACACTTAACAGTCTTCGATTAACATGGTCAAGAAATCAGTGCTTCACATCCTGGTTATTTTGTCTTTGGTTGATGGTTATCTCGTTGGTAATCAACCGACGTCTTTTTTTAACATTAGACAAGCGTCTGTACAATTTGTTAATGTTGGTTTAAACCTGCTTCTTTAAACGAGTTAACAGAAACTATCCAGGGTATGAATCAAACAAGTTGGACGAAGATGAATTCACATTAGTCTGACTTTCTTATCGTTACCATGGTTACTAACTAATAAACGTACCTTGTCCCTTTTCAGGGCATTTACTGCGTCGAAAAAATCGTCTAATTCATTTTCACGTCATGTTCGAATTTCCCTCCTTACACGCAATCTAGATCTGTAGCGTCCCTGTCTTCTCAGTCGGATATGTAATTTTCTGCCAAGGGAATCTAGCCAGTCAAAAGCATCCTTCCCTAAACCTGGTGAACTAGTATTTTTGTACATATGAGCCAAATAGCTTTCTAAACAGCTCGTTTGAACATCATATGGAGTGGTGTTTTTGTCAACTTGTCCCGAGTAGCATTCTGCTAAACTTGGTGGGAATACATCTTCTACAATAAGCGCTGACGCCGGAATAAGAACCATAAGAAGGAAATAAAACCTCATTGTCTGAAATAAATGATAAATTCGTTAAAAACGACGATCGGTTTAGCAGTATTTTTTTCCTAATTGCGAAATTATAATAATTTATTGTGGTGTTAAATTTATTGTGCGGTGACGGAATAAGAAAAGGTCGATTATTAAAAGAGTTTAATTTGACTTCATAATACACCGCTAAAAATTTGCACAGTGGTAGAAAAATGGTTTCACCTCAATTTAAGATTGATCGTCAAAAAATCGTATGGTGCAGTTTCAAACTTTTTTTTGATTTTTATATTTGGTGAAAAACAATCAAAACAAAAACAAAATTCAAGGGAGGTCAATATATATATACGTTGCTTTAACTAGTTTTAGGTCTATTATTTGTTCTTCTGTAATATAAAAGTAAGGAAATGTGGTTTGTTCGAATGAAGTGGACGTACGCAATTATAGGTAACTGTACAGTCTTCAACAATGAGAAAAACCCATACCGTATAGTCGGCTATAAATGGTCCCGACCTGATAATATCAATCAATTTAACTGAGAAAACCTAATTCATACAAAAAAATTGACGTGGCAAGGTATTTGTACATCCCTCACCACAACAAAAACGCAAAGTACAGATCTGAGAGTACTCGAAGAACTGATACTAGTTCAAAGCCAAAAATAACTAATAAAAAAATCATGTATATCTGTGTGTCTTTCTTGTCCTGCGTGTTTCTTTGTTAAATGATTTCCCTTCTCCTGGACTAATGCTTGGTTAAAAAATTATGTATGTCTGTGTGTCTTTCTTATCCCGCTTGTGCCTTTATTAAATGATTTCCATTCTCCTGTACTAACGTTTGGTTTGTCTACCATTAATTGGTTAAGAAAAGAAAGTTGCGGAGGCAATCTGATTGCATGACACTAATGTATGGATTATTTTTTTTTTAATTTGGAGTAAACTGATGTTAATGTCTCTTAAGAAAGCTTTTGATGCTGAAAGACAATTTCAAAAGGCGAATATCGAAGAAAACAGATACTACTATTATTGACAATATCTTGTAAAATGTACAGTGTATGCTAATTAATGCATCACAATACGGGGCCCAAGTAGAATACCCCTTAGGTCGCGTTAAAAAAAAAATGCATCCATTAGTTTGGTCAAACAATCAGTTTTTTTAAAGTCGTATATTGTTTGAAATGAGACGCAGAGATGCCCACCTACCCTAAGGTGGCGGGTCAGATTTGGCCATATTCGAGCCACATAATATCCAACATACATAATATATTCTGTATTTTATCATGCAAATCATGTTCTGACCCCGCCTAATTTGTTGAATATAGTCTGATGATAATCTGTATAAATGATTCCCTGTATAACGTAATTCGAATTATGCATATATATACATAATTTAAAATCTTAATGGTCTGTATTTGCGTATGCATAGAATTGTAACGTCACAATTCCGTATATACGAAATTCGAAGTCTATCAATACGGAAATAGTTCTGTGTATCCGTTTTTTAAATCCTGTAAATACATATATTAAACGATTCCTATATATACGAAAAGTCGCCAAAAAAACACGATTGAATAATATAGCTCAATACCTAAATTTTAATTACGTATATAAAGATTTAGTATTAAATATATAAACAAATATTCGAACTACCTTAATAATACATATACGGAATTATTTTTGTACATATACATGTACGTTATAATACAGACAGCCATTTTTGTTTTACCCTGATACTGCGCAATAATTATTTATAAGTGTCGGACTAATGGGTTATCGGATTGTTGGGCTGTCGGAGTAATGGGTTGTCGGATTATTGGGTTGTCGGACTAATGGGTTGTCGAATTATTGGGTTGTCTGACTGTGAGGCTGTCGGAACAATGGGTCGTCGGACTAATGAGCTGTCGGACTAATGGGCTGTCGGAATAATGGAGTGTAACCCATGAATTAAACATAATCCATCTACTAATATACAAATATAAATATATAATTCCTGAATAATAGCCAATGATAAATCTTACGGGATGATGGAACATATAATTATGATATAGTACGCTACAAAATATAATATATAATAAGCAAGTCTAAAAGGGTACAACATCACCAAAAACAAGTAAAATCATGAACAAATGTTAAAAATTTCGGATAACTAATATCCTTCATCAGTAAGATGTGAAATGATTCCTATCTTAACACGTGTTAATCAAACTGAAATAATAATCTTGATCGTGGTATGGTAAAAAAGACATTTTCTGGTACACATATGGTATACGACATGAAATATAAATATTAAGTTTTCAAGAACAACTGGAGATTGAGTTTGAAGTAAGATTAATATTTTCAGTAATATTTGTAAAATAGTTGTTGAATGTATCAGCAATGCTTTTTAGGTCTGTTATCGGTTTATTGTAACAGTCATTGCATGGTCATGATAATTTTCACTGCCATTGACATTATGCAAGTGTTTCCATAATTTACCACTGTTTTTTTTTCTTGTTTTATATGAGCACCAGTATAGAATTTTTGCTTTGAATTTTCTATCAGGTATTTAACCTTGTTTCTCTAGAATTTATAATTATATGTATCTTTTTTCTTATAATTATAACCACGTTGTTTCATGCACTCCCTTATTTCATCATTTATCCATTCACTTTGATAAACATGTTTAACTCGCTTTTTAGTGGGGCATGATAGTTCAATACTTCAGTTAAAATATTTATAAAACTTAGTAGAGCATCCAGATCATCAGTTTCTAGTATTCTATCATGGGGACTACGAGATACATGGTGAATAAAATCAGTATATATTAAATATTTTATAGTTTTATAAATAAAGGCAACAGAAGTATACCGCTGTTCAGTACAATAAGCCAAAAAAAAAATCCGGGGGTACAAACTAAAACGAGGTAAACACATCAACTTAATTTGATTTTATTTGATTTTTTGTGTTTTAACGCCACTTTTAAGCACCGTTTTTGGGCTATTTCGTGGCGGCCAGTTTTTATTGGTGGAGGAAGCCGGAGTCTGTAGAAAAACCACCGACCTTCGATAGGAAAACTGACAATCATAGTCAATTAAGATTGGAGTCGAGTGCACCCCCATCAACTAAAAGAGGAAAACAACGGAACATCAGAAACACTGAACTGCAACAAAAACAAACGCCAACTGACATAGAAACGGACTATTTGATAATAACTGTAATATTCCTGACTTTTTTTAGGACATTTTAAGAAAAATGGTGAGTTGAACCTGGTTTTATGGCTAGCCAAGCCTCCCGCTTATATGGCAATGTTCAAAATACCGCTTAAATGACAACATTCCGTGACAGGAATACAGTACAAATAAACGCGTGAACACTTAGGACAGAAAAAAAGTTACATAATCATGAACTTGCTTTTTCTTCTTTTAAACCTATTTTATGAGAAATGCATACTGGATAGTGATCACTGATTAAATATTTTGGAACTGAAATATAATCAATATTTTCTAGCACATTACTATACACATGGTCAATTAAAGTAAATGAAGTTTTTGTAACTCTTGTAGGTTCTGAAACCACTTGACGCATGTGGAAAATATTTTTGAGGTGTGTTTTTTACTTTACATTAAAGGAATATTAAAATCTTCCAAAATAACAGTTTTCGTAGTATATGCCAAAATATTTTTATTTAAAAATTAAATAAAGAGGTACAAAGGTGCAAAAAAGATCATGATATGAAAACTATGGTACACACGAGTTGAGTTATAGTAAAATTAGTTGTTTCGTAAGTACGAAAATGCGTTTTACCAGACTTGCTCGATATGGATATTTTCTTTTACATGCTATTCAGCATTAGTCTTTTTTAGTGAGGATAAAGTATGGCTTTTTAACTTTTAGTGGCAAATAAAATGCATATTCAAGGCGAGAAAATGATAATGTGATATGAATATAACCCCTGCTTTGCACTGAACAGACGAAACCGGACTCTAGTTTCCAAGGTAACAGTCTGCAGGAAAATATGTCATCCTAACCGGACACATAAGTTTGAACTCTAAGCGAACAAGGCTTTGCTCTTTCTCCAAAACGCTTTCTTATAAGTCTGATTAATTGATTTCTATTTGTATCGTTATGTTTGAAGTTGTCATAATAATAATATTAAGCAGCTAATCAATTTGGAAAAAAATGAATTTTATATAGTAATAGACACATATATGATATAATAGTTGTAATAAGACATGAATTATAATCTTACCTTGAAATTTAGTTATTTCTGCAGCAACCTTCAAATATATAAAAACATATATCGTTCTGTGATTCAGTGTTTTATTAACTTTATATAAAGCTTGAAAAAGTGGTTTAAAAACTTAAGTAGCATACGGACGAAATTGCTACCGTGTTTTTGTTGTGTTTTTGTTTTTGTTTTTTTTATTTGTAAAATATTATTGCATATGGCAAGTTAATTATTTTAACTCCGCAAGTAAGTCTAAGCTTCCTGTTTAAGACGATCAATAAAAGTGCAATTTATTATTCTCATTCTTCATAAATGCATATTGCATTAAATCGGATTTAATGTGCATCAATCATATACTACTGAAATCTTTTTTATCAATAACAACCGTCACATTTTGACTTATATATGGTAAATAATGGTAAAAAATACAAATCCATTTATTTGATGAAGAAGTAATACAAGATATTTTTAATTTATATAACTATATACCAATACGTAACAGTTTGAAATAAATCCCCTTACATACTGTTAAATTATTACTTTTATGGATCTCTGAACAGGCAATCATTGTCAGAGTTTGCACATAGCGCATTACAATTTGTTATTTCTGTCATTGAGTAGTTACATCTGCTGGTGGAATATTAGTCTCCAAGGGTATCAAAAACCCATAATTAAAAATAATTTAAATTATGGAATATTTCTCTCTGATGCAATGTATTTCCATGTCCGTATTTGGCTATATTTTATGTCCGTTTTGGTTTAATTAGCTCTTTCAATGTACCAGTGTTCCCTATTCACTTTTAATTTCTGAGGGTGTATTTCAATCTCAAAATAAATAAATGATTGCAAAAAGTATTAATTTTTAAGAAATTATAATTGTTCTTAAGGTGATTTTCGCATCGAAACTTTGCATGTTGAAAATAAAGATACTGTTTTTCAGTTTAATATTTGTCAGTCTCAAAAATGTTTTATTTATTGAATACATTTTTTATAAATTTAAACTTCAAAATTTTTCGTCGCATTTAGTGTCACAAGAATGGTGATTATTTTTTAACCAATGCATGCATATATTTTTAAACTAATGTGCATTGTTTTTACCATTTTTCACAAATCTATAATGAATAATTGATAACTAAAAACAATTCGGCCATAGTTGAAAGAAAACAATGGCTGCTAAATAATTTTCGGATATTGAGGCCGAAGTATAACTTTACTTTATTTGAAAAAAAACAACACTAAGAGCTATTTCCCTAATGCTTGTAGTTTAAAGGTTTGATTGGGTTACTTGTTTTGTTTGTATAAATGTTTGCTCTTGCATTGTATTTAACATTGACATCTGCAATTAATAGATAGGCAGAGCCTCAGCTTGTATACATTATACTCTGCATTATACTTACCATCCAATAACAGATAAGTAAAATGTATACAAGCTGAGTAAGCCAACCAAACCTTTAAACTACAAACATTAGGATAATAGCTCTAACAATTTATAGAGCAATGACTTACTAACAAACACGAACACACAAAATATAAGGACATATAAAAAATACAATTATCATTTTATGATAGAATTATATCTATTCAAATGAATATAGTCAATGTTATCAGGTATATTTTCAATTAAAAAAATGTGTCTTAATTGTTCTTTAATGGTTTAAAAAAAAAATGAAATGAAACTACGGTCTTCTACCACGTTAGCACTGTAGACGTTCCAATGTGTACACAGACTTAATAACTCATCTAAAATACCCTGGTATGCCAGACGCGCATTTTGTTTACATAAGAATCATCAGTGACGCTCGAATAAAACCAGTTGAAATTCCAAATCATAGCTTAAATCTCGGGTAATATTCCTGCATCTGCTAGTTACTATAGCTAAATCATGGGCGATTATTCGTACACATTGATTGTCAATGATCAAAGAATTGAGTAAGTTAATATGTTTCAAGGTCATAACTTTTCTTTGACTGTAGCCCTCTTTAGTTTCACACATTATTAATTTATCATCAGCAAGTGAAAGTCTTCCAATGTTTGTCTGCTCTATCTGTAAAGGATGACAGTCATTTGGTTGTCTATAAACTTGTGGTAGATCCTTCATACAAAATATTAAATAAAGTGGTAATGAGTAAGATTATCATTTAATTCAAAGCTAATTTCCTAATGCTTGTAGTTAAGACTTTGGTTGGCTTGCTTGCTTTGTATAAACGTTTGCTCAAGCATTGTAATTAAGATTGACACCTGCAAACAATATATATTGGGCAGATTTAAACCTTACTAACATTATCTTGTAATGTTTACATGTACATTTTGGTGTTCCTAACCTCCAGGGTATTATATTATTTGCAGATGTCAATCTTAATTACAGTGCTTGAGCAAACGTTAATACAAACAAAGCAAGCAAGCCAACTTAAGTCTTAATCTACATGCATTAGGAAATTAGCTCTAATTGAAAATTTGTACTTCCAATGCCCTTAGATAATTTATATCGGAAAATAGTCCTCCGGATATAGTCAAATGAGTAGACGAAGCATATAAACAATACTTGTTTTTTTAATTCAAATATCGTGTATCAAAGTCTTAAATATAAATAGACTATCAGTTGTTCTTAAGTTAAGTAGAAATCCAAATTGTTTCTTGCTAAATTTGTTTTTCAATAATGCCATTATTCTGTTAGTCATCCCTTTTTTTGATTTTTCAAAGTGAGCGATTTAAATTATAATGCCTTATTTTTTACTTCCTTGTCTGTTTAAAGTTTATATGCATCGTACCATTGGCCATAGAAAAGAACTGATGTATTCCAAAAAGACAGAAGAGACATCCTCTATTCCGAAAGACAACAACAACAACCAATGTATATGCTTCCGAGCTGTACTTAGTGTCTTTTTTGTATGTACATGTCCCAAGTCAGAAGCCTGTAAAAAGTTAAATAACAAAAATACGAAACTCCAAGGAAAATTCAAAACGAAAAATCCCTTATCAAATGGCAAAATCTAAAGTTCAAACATACGAACGGAAAACAACTGTCATATTCCTGTCTTGGTTAGGGCATTTACTAATGTAGAAAATGGTGAAATAAATCTGGTTTTCATTCAGTGGTTGTCGTTTGTTGCTGTATTTCATTTTTGATTTTCGTTCATTATTTTTTTAAATCAGACCGTTAGTTTTCTCGTTTGAAATGTGTTACATTTGTCATTTCGGGGCCTTTTATAGCTGACTATGCAGTATGGGTTTTGCTCTTTGTTCAAGACCGTACGTTGACCTACAGCTGTTAACGTCTATGCCATATGGTCTCTGCTGAAGAGTTGTGTCATTGGCAATTATACCACATCTTTTTATTTTTATACTACAGCAAAAAAAAGTTACATTACAACGAAACCAACCTTTTTCAAAAAGATACTACTATATAGTTTTAGTAACAGTGACCTTGAACCTTGATTGTTTGCTCTAAAATCAATATGCGCCTTCCAATTCCCTACATCTTATATCTGTACAAGTATCATTCCATTCATTTCGAGGAAACTCAGATTAAATACATTCTGTATTCTAATTTTTTGTCAATTCAAACTGAAAAGTATCCACTGTCATAGTGTCCTTGTACTATAACTTATTGACTTCCAAGGAAAGGAAATAAGAGAGAAACCATTTGTTTCTGACACAGTTGGTTAGAAGGAGAGACAGATGACGGAAAAAGGGATAGACTGACAATGTGATGACTATCTGCCCCATGCACTTATTGGGAGAGTGCAGGCATACAAACAGACCCAGTGAATGAACAGAATATCAAACAAAATATGTACATATCAATGATCAGCTTGAATTGACTAAATACATTCTGAATATAACAAACTTAAAAAGACTAAATGAGAAACTCAATATAAATTGCCTGAAAAAGTTTGAATGAGAAATTTAACAGCTAAATATGCAATTTCTTTCATCAGTTCATGGAAAGAAAATAAAATTCACAATATTCAAAGAAAAACTCAGGGGTTTCAGCAACTGGTGTCATTCCAAAATAGACAGTATAGAAGCTGCTTCTAAAATCGACGAACACCTACACTCTATCTAGTCACTAAAAATTTAGTATTTTTTGTACACTCGGTAAAATCCGGAACTTCCGACGTTTCCGTTCCGATTCCAGTCCGCTTTAGTGTTAACTGGTCACCCGCTGATTGAGGTTTCGCCACAAGAGTTAATAGAGTAATGTATCCAGAATCTGCAGAATTGGAAAAACTTAAATTTGGTGTTGTTGGTATCACATTCAGCACAGAACTGTCATTTTCTTTTTCCTCTGTTATGATGCATGTTTCACTATCTGAAGTGGTTGGAAAAAGTTCAGTTTTAGCTCGCACTTCCCTCGATTCACCTCGTCTTTTTCTTGACTTGGACAAATGTTCTGATATGCAACATTTACCACCTATCAAATCCAAAGTTTCATCACATTTTAAAGCAAAATTCTGAAAATTGTCAATACCCTGTACTTTTCTTTCTACAAATTACACCTTCTAAAACATCTATTTCACCGTATTTCAGAAGCAATGTTGACAAGTTTTTTCTGATGACCAGCATCATAATTGAGATATTTCCACGTGAATCCATGTGTTAAATCAACAATTTTGCAAACAGCGCATATATTCTTTTCAATTTTGCGTCATGTTTACTTTTACGGCGCCATTTTTAATTTGATTTAGTTGTCAAATAAACTATGGTGTCATCTGCAAAAAAATGCACTGCAGATGTAAGACCAGTTGGAATATCGTTTATATAATACAGGAAAAGACTTGGTCAAAGAACTGACCCCTATGGAACCCCTGACTCCACTGTTACATACTCAGAATTTCCCCCTACTAGTAATACTACCTTCTTGCGATTGCGTAAGAAATTTTGTATCCAGAGATTTAATTCCCCCTGTATCCCGTAATGGTGGATTTTTTTAATGAAAAGTGAATGTGAAATTTTATCAACTGCTTTTGAGAAATCTATGACCAAAATATCTGTTTGTTTACCATTTTTCATGTTGAGTGAAACATCGTCTATAAGTTCAAGTAATAGTG